GTTCATAGCAGCTTTGTTCATAATAGCCAGAACCAGTCAGACATCCATCAGCAACAATGCAGAGACAAATAACTCTCAACCACAATGGAACAATCAGCCAATACACGCAACAATATGGATGAATCTCAAAAACATTATGTGAATGAAAGCAGCCAGGCACAAAAGAATACTCTGTGATTCCAAATTTGTGAATGTCTTGAACAAGCAAACCCAACCTATGCAGGAAGGAAATCAGATCAGTGGTTGCTACTGGTAGTGTGAGCCAGGACAGAATGGAGACCTTTGAGGTGATATAAATGTACAACTGATGAAGTTCCAGCCACACAGGTGAATCTATATCTCATTGAAAGGTAAAGAAGCTACAAATCAGGAGGCGTTTTAAGCTTTTCTGTTTGTCTTCCTCCCATCCAGCATCTCATTATGAAAATTTTCAAACTTGAGATTGGTACATGTTGTTGTAGGCAATTTTCCTCCAAAAAATATAAGCTATTTTGATTTTGGGGACTACAATGATGTAAGAAAAAATTAATTTAAAAATCTAAAAATAAAATAAATTTCAAAAGTTACCAAGGAAAAAATGAGCTGTACAAAATATTAAATTCTTATTAATGATGTGCATGCCAAAGCGCTTAGGGAGAAGGTATTCATGTCTGCAACTTGCTTTTGCATCACAAAAACAAGCTGGGTAGAGGGGAGAGTAGAGTATACTCATGGACTCGTAACAGTGACCAAATGTTAATGGTAGAATCTGGGTTGTGCAGGTGTTTACTGTGAACCTTTCACATTATCTACAGCTTGAAAATTTTCATAATGAGATGCTGGATGGGAGGAAGACAAGCAGAAAAGCTTAAAATGCCTTCTGATTTGTAGCTTCTTTACAGCGGGTTCAACCAGAGACGTGGGCCAGGAGGATGTGTATAAGAGGTTTGTTACAGGGAATGATTCCTGTCATGTGGGTGATGTCAGGCAGGGTTTGTGGGGTCTTAGGTGAGACCGAAGATGCTCTGTCCACAGCAGAATTTCTTCTTCCTCAGGACGCCTCCGCTCTGCGCTGGGGGCCCTTCTTCTGATTGGGTCAAGGCCACACGGAGTATCTGGTACGTGGATAGAGGTGAGCTGTGCTAACCCCCTTCACTGATAGTCTACTGGTGCGGGATTTCAGTCACAGCCTTATCATACCTTCCCAGCAGTCCTCGAAGAGTGTTTGATTGATCAGGACCATAGCTCACTTCAGCAGACACTGGAACCTGTCACAGCTGAAGGAAAGCTGAGCCGGGAGACTCTGGTCCCTGTTCCCATTTGACTGCAGGAGGCGACATGCCTGGGACATGCCCAGCAGTCTCATCTGGACTCGCCTTTCCTAATGGACTGTAGAAAGCCCAGTTCATCTTAAATAGCCTCCAACCTCCTTGGGTTTGCTTGTTTGTCTGCCTGGCCAGTTACATCATTAGCAAGCTTAGAACCTTGCTTGTAAGATGACCTCGGAAGCCCCCAGAGGCCCCAGACTGTGTCCCCCAGAGACATGAGAGCAGGATGTGGATGGGCACAAGACTGTGGTCTTGAAAGTAAACAAACCCCCTATCCTTGAAGGAGATTCACCTCAGAGGCCAGATCGCTTGTTAAGAAGCACAGAGGGAAATACTCAAAAGCATAAGGATCTTAAACGTAAATTAGAACAATGGTATGCCATTTTTGCAAACAAATCTGGAACACAAGGAGAAGGGCCAACTCCGCAAGGGGCTGGCCTGCCAGTGCAGACAGGCACAGCCCTTGAAGGCAATCTGGGCACTCACGGCAAATGCAAGGCCTGGGGAGCCCTGCACAAAGGTGTCGATGCAACATTACTTCTCATACGGAAGAATCAGCAGTGGCCTAGTAACCAGGAAAAACATAAGAAATGTACAACACGAAGGCGACACGCCTGGGACATGCCCAGCAGTCTCATCTGGACTCGCCTTTCCTAACGGACTGTACAAAGCCCAGTTCATCTTAAATAGCCTCCAGCCACCTTGGGTTTGCTTGTTTGTCTGCCTGGCCAGTTACATCATTAGCAAGTTTAGAACCTTGTTCTAAACGGAATGCACTCCATGTTCAGAGTGTGAGGCTTCCACGCTATTATCAACACGCATATTTGTACATAGGTGTAACAGCATTTCCGTTTTCCCGGGAAGAATGCTGAAAGAATGCTCGATCGAATGCATTTGGGAGTGGGATCATGACTAACTATTATTTATTTTCCAAATATTCTGAGAGGTGGTTTTTGTGCTTTTACAATATGGAAAAGAAATTAGGAAACTGTGTAGCTCATTACAGCTTCTTGTGGTTTGATGCCTTTGGGATCCCTGAAACCAAACTTCAGCTGAGGCTCTCGAAATCCAAATTGCCTTTCAAATTAACTGGCAGGAAACCTTGAATGTGTATTTTGTCTCCAATTCAGCTAATAGGAACCAGATGCAAAGTTTCAATCAAACTTTCATTGTCTGGTATCTGGTAACCATTATCCATTTGTTCGCTGAGCTAAAAATATGCGATTCATCTGCAGTTTTGCTGGTTAATACCTTGGATGCATTAGTAACTGCTAAGATATGCTCTTTCTCTGGAGTGAAAATGAACTTGCAAGCATTAATGTGCGAATGCAAGCAATATCTCATTATTTTTCCCAAAAATCCAATGAAATCTGTCGCAATTGCCATCCCACTCACTGGGGGGAAGTTCAATCTCCATCCTTCTCGGAAGTGGCCCCCATCTCTCCCCAGGCCCCACAGTGGTCCTGGGCCTACACTGAGACAATGTTCTGTAGTGTCTTGTAGATCCCCACATCTCATTGCCTGTGAATGGGTGCTATTCTCCTCCAGGGTTTGTGAGGCCCCTGGGCTGCCCCCCAAGCTTCTCCCATATACGCCTGGGCTTTCCTGAGCTGGGGGACGGCCATTCTCTGGCTTCCTCCTTTGTCCTAAGAAGTCTGTCCCCCTGTGCCTGCACCCTCCTGGGAGAGCCTAATAAACAGTGTCCCGACAGTCTGGTACACATATATAGAGATAAACAGATATACACATATCTACATACATACACACCACACACATGCATACATAGACACACAGATGAACATATATCATGCCAGAGGTGCATACAAACACACACATATATTTACACATATCTGCACTCACATATCTGCACGGACACACAGAAATACACACACACACACACACACTCTCTCTCTCTCTCTCCAGGAAGAAAAGTTTTGCAACTCATTTTCATCCTGAGAATGGCCCAGAGGTAAGGCCTTTTGGGAAGGAAGAGGAAAAATAATACCCAAACTAACATTCTGCTTTAATAACTTACCCCATCATGCTGGTAGAGCCTTTTTTTCTCATTAACATTACAAACTTGCTCATTATGCAGAATATTAAACTCTGGTGAAAATTAATAAGCCCCATGGCTAACCCTGTGGTATACTAACCTTGGGAAAGTGGGTTAACCTCTCCAGGTTCCAGTTTCTCACTGTAAGCTGAATGTCTCACCTTGTGAGACTAGATGAGAGTTAAGGAGACCATGTGAGGGCCAGGCGTCCCATGCCTGACGTGCTCCATGCAGAGGAGTCCCTGACTTCAGTGTGAAACGGAAGGTCACTCAGTGTCCCCCTGGGTGACCTTCGGCCAGTAAAGAAAGCTCTGGGGGTGATGTTATTTGTTTAAAATCACCCAATAAGCTATTAGGAAGTTCATGGAAGAAATGCAGAAGGATGATGGTGAGCAGAGAAGGTAAGTTGAAGCAAAAGGATCATTTCTCTCCAATTAGACCAGCAAGAAGGTAGATGGTTGCACCTGATAAGGCAGAGTAGCTGTTGACCCTCCCAGGCCTCCCTGGAGCAGGGCTTTATACAACACAGTGGAGGCGTTCTTCTGTGATATGTCCCCACAGAGTAAGCCCTGTTCCCCTGTCTACAGTGGATGCTCATGAGGCCTCTGATCTACAAAGGAGGTCCAAGGGAGGGCAGAGCAGCAGGATGGAAGGACCATGTCCTGGAAGACCTTCTGGGGAAGGACACCCACTGGAGGCTCCAGCCTGGGCACTGTGCCATGACAGAGAAATAATTCTGTAGTTTTTGAACCACTTTGGGGTCTCATTTTTTACAGTAACTTTGCCTGAACCCTAATTAGTACAACTTTTTTCTACTGACAAGGATTCCTATTCCTTTGCTCACAGACTGGCTCATTTCCAGGTGAAATTAGCATCTTCTCTGTGATACTGAACTTTCTATGTCAGCTTGGCTGGGCCTTGGAGTGCTCAAATGTTTGGTCAAACATCATTCTAGATATGTATATGAGGGTGTTTGGTGATAAGATTTTAACAGACAGGCTAAGCACAGCAGGTCCCCCACCCCAAGGTGGATAGGTTTCACCCAATCTGTTGAAGGCCTGGATGGAACAAAAAGAACAATCCTCCCCTCAAGTAAGAGGGGATTCTCAGCAGCCTCCCTGGTGGCACAGGACCCTATCAAGCTATCACCAGCCACTGTAGCACAAGTTCGATCTCCAGTGGGCCAGGGAGCTAACCCACATGGCACAGCAGACCTCTCCTGCCTTGCCCGCTACTCCTCTCAGCAGTGTATTTCAGTCAATCTGCCTGTTCTGTTCCCCACTCTGTCTCTGGTGAATCCTCTCACCCCTTGCACCTCTGGCCTATACCCCAGTTTTTGTAGGCATCAATAAATAAATCTTAAAAAAATAAAAATTAAAGGGGACTCTCAGTTGACAGCCTGAAGATTTAGACCTGCCAGTCTTCCTGTGTGTGAGTCAGTCCCTTATAGTCTTTCTCCTCATGGTTCTGTGTCTCTGTGGCTCCTTGACAAACACACTCCTCTTTGCTATGGCCGAAGCACAGAGAAGCTACTCCTTTGAATCAACTTGTGTGATTTGCTTCCTGCCAAACAAGACAGCACAAGCTCTTGACAAGGAATTCTCCTTTTCAATGAAAGGTCATTAGCTGTTGGCCAGAAATGATTCTTTAATTTATGTGAGGCATTTTTGTCATTGAAAATCCAAATTTTTGGCAAAACTGAGTCTCCAGAGCACATGATAAAACAGTTTATTATCTCCAGGCCTAAGAAGCATTTTCAAGCTCATAATGATCATGTGCCTTCCCTGAAAACACTAAGTATTTGAAAACGTAACGGCTCATTTGTGTTCATGACAAGAATATTTGGTCCTTCTTGGGTGAACACAGTTGCTGTGCTATTTTCCCATTGATTTGAAAAACACACTGACAACGAAGACACCAAAGGAAAAATTGCTTCATGTAGGGTGTTTCCATGCCAGCTTACGTATAACCTGCTCAGTGCCCTGGGCTCCGCAGCACTGCCGTAGCAGGATGGTGCTATGACCCCCAGGTGCACCTCACTGTGGTCAGAGCAGGAAGCCACAGGAAACATCTCCTGAGATCTTTGCCTCTGAGCCTCCAGGTTTCACTGCACACAGAAATTTTTTTTTTCAAAAAGCTCGTTTCTATTAGCTGCTGTTTATTAGCATTTGTGTGTGTGTATTCTTTACATAAACTGTGCTATATCTGTATGCTTTGTATACACTATACATACGCCTCTATATGCATTCTTGGGGGTTTTGCATTTCTTTTTGGTGGTTTATGTATATACTGAAACTTTGGGTTTGCTTTGACCACTTCACACCTCAGGTCACCAGGAGTGGCAATTGTCTATGAGGAGGGTCAGGAGAACACAGGTGTCAGAGTGTTGGCTCATTCTATGGTGTTTCCCAAGTTTACACCCAGTTTCTCCATTGTTATAAATCAGCCTGCTTCATGGGGGCAGCTGAGAATTAACTAGAGAAAGGCAGATGAGTTCAAACATTCATTGCACAGAGCCTGGTTTCTAGTAAGTGCCTCCATGTGGTGGGGGATGAGGTTCCTGCTTTCAGCATTCTCTTTTTGTTCAGATTCTGGAGCTCCATGTATTTCTCATAAATTAGGTCACATTCTCCTTGGAGGAAATCCAAGAAGTGGATCCATTCAGGTGGCTGAGAGGTCCTGGCCAGGTGCCCAAGGGCACAGTGTCACAGCTAAGGACACGTAGCTTGGACAGCTCCCACCCTTTTCTAGGAGAAGCTGGAGTCACAGCTATCTTCTCAGTGGCTGTCACAGCTCTCTTCTGGCTCACCAGACACCAGCATCTTCTGGAAGGACATGACGACTGAGGACTGCACAGATAGCTTCCTAGTCGCAAGTGCAGTGGTAATTATTAGAGAGCTTATGACTGGGGTCCACAAGGAACTTGGAAAAAGGCTGAGTTTCTTGGCAATCTCCTGGCACTACAGTTGCAGGTTTGCCTACATGGCAGATGTCCAGTTCCACTGCCATGGAACTTTCCTTCTTTAAGTATTTTCAGATTTTTATTTCTTTTGGTCATCTCTATAGTCCAGTGAGAAGATAAGCTGAAATCACAATGAATTATCAAGCAAAACATTTCTTTCCCAAATCTGTTATTTCACTTTGCTTTTACTGACAACATGCCAGTCTTTCAAAAACATGATACTGTAATTTTCCCCATTGGTTTATTGAGAATACCTGTGGTGAATACCATCTCCCCAGACCACTCCAGCTTACTGAGTTTTATGGCTTGTATCACTTTGTGCTGCTCTTATAAAGCATGTCCTTACATGTTCCATAAAGCTAGGGACTGTCCCTTTGTTTTATATCTTTATCCTTCACCTCCTACCAGAGCGCAGTAGATGCTCAATAAATGCTTGCTGAATAGTGGCTAAATTGTAGATCTATACTCCTCACTCCTGACTCTGTTGTTCTTGGCCCAGATACATTCCAAGTAGGAGGAAAGTAGTATTGGAAGAGGCTCAGGCAAAACCACTTCCCCTCCACAGACTTGTCCCCATGGCCATTCTCAGCTGTGAAGCCTCTATGAGGTAAAGGTTTACCTTTCCAGATCTACAGCAGGAAAAAATAAGCAAAAAGAGATTGAAAATCAAAATTAAAATTTCTATATCCACCTTTATCTATTCCATAGAAACAGAAACACAAGGATAAGTATGCATCCAATTCTATGACATTCTGGAAAAGACACAATGATGGAAGTGGTAGAAAGATCAGCAGTTGCCAGGAGTCATGGGGAGGGAGGGGTGAGAATATGGCACACAGAATTCTTAGGGCAGTGAAACTACTGTGTATGACACATGACGGCAGATACCTGTCGTTAAACATTTGTCAAATTCCACAGAATGTACAACACCAAGAGTGAACCTTAATGTAAATTATGGACTTTGGGTGATTTTGACCTGTCAATGTAAGTTTTCTACTTTAACAAATATACAGTCTGGGGCTTCCCCCAGTGGCGCAGCAGTTGAGCGCTGGGTGGCGAAGCTGCCTGCAGCCTCTGCAGCGCCGGTTCGATCCCCGGCCACCGGCGAGGGTCCCACATGGCGCACAGACCTCTCCTGCCGCCAGCTGCTCCCCTCAGCAGTGTACTTCGTCTGCCTGCTCTGCTCTCCCCTCTGGCTCTGGTGAATTCTCTCACCTTCCCGTGCTTCTGACTATACTCAGTGCTTATATAAATAAATAAATATTTAAAAAAAACAAATATACAGTCTGGTGGGGGATGTTAATAATAGGGAAGGCTGTATGTATGGGGGTAGGGGCATATGAGAAAGTGCTATATTTATCTCTTAATTCTGTAATGGACCAAAACATACCAAAAATAGTATTAAAGTCTTTTTTAATGTAAGGACATAAGCGTGTTTTGCAGCATTATCCATGATGACAAGAGAGAACCCAAATAAACACCAATTAACAGAGGAATGGGTAAATACATTCTGGTTCATCCACACCATAGCCATCAAAAAAGAGGAACCAGAGCCATATTTAAAGACTTTGGGAGATTTCCATGAGCAATCATGGAGTAAGACTAAGTGCAAAACATTTTATTTTACTAACCCATTTGTAAAACAATGAAAATAAGCCCTCTACCTCTGAGTACATGCATGTGGGTGTATATATGTGCAATGAACAGAATCTGTGCCCACATACATACATACATACAATAGCAAAGGCCTTGCACGTGTCCAAATGCATGTGCAATAACATGGACTTGCAAATGTGTGTGTGTGACCAACAGGACCTTGTATGTATTTGCAATGAACATGACCTAGCACACACATGTGCTCAATGAGCAGGGTCTCACACTTGTATACAACAAACATAATATTGCATGTATCCATATGTACAATGAGCAGGAACTTGAACCTGTATATATATATATATATATGTATATGTAATGAATTTGACCTTGCATGTGTACGTATGCAACAAACATGCCTTTGCACATGTACATGTGGGCAATGAATACGACCTTGTTCAGTCCATTGTGCAAGAGAAGCTTCAGTTTACTTACTGCTGTCACACCTGTGCAGGTGGCAGGGAGGGAAGAGGGGAGGAAAAAGGGGAGAAGACAAGCAAAAAACCATGTTTAAAAAAGCAACATTATGATATGGTCCATTAATGTATTAACTTAAAAATCTATGTGTGTGTTTCTACGTACAAAAGAGGGGATTTAGGGCCTCCCCGGTGGCGCAGCGGTTGAGCGCTGGGTTGCAAGGCTGCCCACAGCCTCTGCAGCGCTGGTTCAATCCCCAACTGCAAGATGAGGGTCCCGCATGGCGCGCAGACCTCTCCTGCCGCCCGCTGCTCCCCTCAGCAGTGTACTTCATCAGTCTGCCTGTTCTGCTCTCCCTCCGCTCTGGCTCTGGTGAATTCTCTCACCCTCCCGCGCTTCTGATTGTACCCAGTGCTTTTATAAATAAATAAATAAATCTTTAAAAAAAGGGGGGGGGATTTAACTTTCTATTTTCCTTCTCACATCAGGTTTAAAAGACAACAGCAAATTCCTACTTGTTTTGATTCCTCAGAAAATGCCCTCCCTCCACAAAGTGAACAGAAATTGACCAGATATCATTTCATAAATGGACTTCAGTGACCAACGTAGATAATAAACCAGAATTTGTACAGTCAAACCCTTAATTGCTTTTTGAATCTCATCAGATGAAATTTTCTTTTTCTTTCTAATTCATTCTTTTCCTTGGAGAAACTCTATAAATGTTTAAAGTCAGCATTTCTTTTCATGCTGAGTAAAATATGGTTGCATAGAAAATTGACTCCAGGAAATTAAAAATCAATGCACTTTAAGAACTAAAGCAAAGTGGAAAGGTGGTTTTTGTCTCTAACTGAGATGTCCAGGCAATACAAAACAAGAAGAGTCAGTGTTACAAAAAGAAAGTGACAATGCATGAGAAATGCAAGTGAGTGAATGGGGAAAATCAATCTTGCCTGTGTCTTTTTTTTTTAATATATAATTTTTTAATTTATATCTTTTACATCATTGTGTAGTCCCCATAAATTCCCACCACCAGTTCACCCGTGAACCATCGCCATAATCCCTTGTGCTCTTCTCTCCCCTGTTTTGATTCCTTTTGCCTGTGTCTTATTTAAGCTACAATCATGCGAGTCTGCTCTTTTGCCTCCTTTGAATTTACCGTTTGCAGTAGTAAATCATTTGTTTGTGGTCAAGCCCAAGGCGGTCTCAGCTTTGGGATATGTTTTTCTAATTAAGATCCCTCACTGAATTTCTGACTTTGACCTCATTTTAAAGTTACTTTAGTTTTACAGCTTACTTCAATATCTTCAGTCGTGTTTAAAGAGTTTAAATATGTTTTCTGTTTCTGTGACTAACTACCCAAGCTTAGGGACATTTAAAATAGCAGCTGATAATATGATTTATAAAACATTTTAAGAGACTGATTGCTTATCTCTGGCTCTCACTTCCTAAAGAAGACAGACAGAAATGCTGAAAGTGGTTTGCTTGCCCCACCTGGGGCCCCTGGATTTGATGCCAAAGTGGGGAGTTAGTTGTCCCAATTGGTAATCCCCCTTCTGTGGATAGTACAGTCTGGGCAGGAATACCAGAAGCAGAAATCTGCCCTTGCTCATTCTTAAACATGGACCTCGTTTCTAGAGCTCTCTGCTGTGCCCTTTAATCAAGACAAAGATCTGACCATGCAAGACTGCCCAGGGATAAGGAGTTGTTGCCTTAAATACACAGCAGAAAGCCGATGGCCCTGGCTGCCTTGAATTGGACCAGTGACACTCTGAGAAACTCTTGGGTGGAACCCATGGGGTGGGCTGCCCCCTGGTGGTTCACTCATCTTGGCGCACAGAGAGCAATGCTGACAAGAGTAGACACCCACTCTTGCATTTATCTTAATATCTGTGTCCCCACTAGGGGGAGCATCTTTGCCTATTTTGTTCACTGAGGTATTCCAGCACCTAGATGCTTCTGACTTATAGTGAGTGCTGAATAAATGTTTGCTGGATGAATGGTCTTTGGGACATATAGATGAGTTATGCATGTGACAGCGGACCCATGAGGGATTCTGACTGCCACCAGGGGTGGAGGCAAATAGCCAGAACACCCTGTAACCACCTTGCAGCACCCTGGGTGGCTGCACTAGCACGTGCTTTCAGAGAAATGCCAGATCCGTCCTTCTCAGAAAGACCCAGTCTGTCTGTCCATCCATGATCACAAACCTCCATCTAACTACAAGACACAATCCAAAGATTTCCTGGGATGGGCATATCCCCCAGGGAGGCTCATTAAATAGAGAAATGGATTAACAATAATGTGAATTCCCAGGGATTTCTCTCCATGATTCAGATGAACTAGTATTAAATGGTTGTCATCTTAGTCTTTATAATAGTAGATATGCTCAAATGTTTGTCTTTTGCTCAAGTCATGGGATGCTTTCGCTGAAGTCAACTTGTCTTCTGGTCCCATTTTCTGACCATCCCAATCCCTTGGGTTACTCTAAAAAACAACTAGACCCCCATGTGCAATTTTCAGTTGAAAAATATTCAAGCCATTATCCATGGAAATTTTAGAAATGGACATGTAGGTGAGTCACATGTTGCTTATTGCCAGAGGATCTGAGAACATAGAACAATGAGATGATGTCATCTCCCATGGGCTATCTCCTCCCACACCTCCTCTTGAAACACCATGATTGCTTCCTAGGCATCAGCCACAGAGGCAGTCTTTCCAGATATTTTAGATATCCCACAGCTTGTGCAACCTGGAAACGCTTGCCCATAGCTGCTTCCCAAGAGCACACTGAGTCAGCCCCCTGCCTCCCTCAACCTTCTCTCCCCAAATGTGACAACCTGTCAGAAGCAGGCACAGTGTCAAGGTCATGGGGGTCAGCAGGCAAGTATGAGGCAGATGATCATCTACTGCACAGTCCTAGTAGGAATGTACCAGAACCGAGTAGAGGTGAAGCAGAGCTGGGGCTTCCTCTAAGACATTTACCAAAGACCTGTTGTGATATCACACTTAATTTTAAATACTATTTTCCAAGAATAAACTGAAAGTGTTATCTGTCTCACTTTACACTGAGTATTGTAGCATATTCAAGGTATATAACATTTTCATAAAAACTTACCTGCATACATTGTGTGCCTGTCCTGGTGCTTTATAAACATTCCTCATTCTGGTCCTCAGCAAGACCCTGAAAGGAAAACAAAGGTACTGATAGATGAGTGACTTCCCAAGAAAGGGACAGAGCTTTGTGTCAAATCCTGGCAATTCAAATGTCTAGGCTACAGCACTTTAATTAACTTGGGGTCCTCATACTGCTCCCAGGGTTAGCAGCCTCAGCATCACCTGGGAACTTGATAGAATGAGAAATCTCAACCTCCATCCCACATTTACTGAATCAAAAACCCTGGTGGTTGGACAAAAAAATCTGTGTTTTAACAAGTTCATGAGATGATTCAGATGTGAACAATGGTTTGAGAGTTATTAAACTAAGTCTTGGCATGAGGTTTTTATGACTGAATGTTTCAGGGAATGCTCAGGCAAATAGCAGAAAAGAGTTGTAAGAGGTCTTGCCAGAACAAGTTTTAAAAAAAAGTAGCTTTCCTTTCCAGTGGATTTTGTGCAACATTCAGAACTCTGAGAAGAAAGTACATACTTAGGAACATATCAAAAAGAAATGTATTTATTCTATGGAAATAATATTCCCCTTGGAAAGGGATTTACATGAACTTGGTTATTGATCTGGCTGGCTGCAGATTAAGAAAGGTCAAGAAATCAGCCTATATCTTTTTGTGTTGGGTCAACCTGCCCCTTTCCATCCTGCTCCCATCTTAGTACGCCCCACTTTCCGTCATGCTGATGGATGACCAGAGCGTGGCTTGCAGAACTGCATTGGTAAGGAGAGGCACCAGGCAGTGCTCTTTGGAGACGGTGACTCAGGGGTCACAACTAGAAGATTGCTTGCTGCTCGGTAACAAATGTTGGTATAAAGACGCTTACAGTTTCACGCTGGACATGGTTCAGGACAGACAGTCTCCATGAGAAAGAGTATAAGTGTGCGTGGCCATTCTGCTTTGCTGTCATTCTTTCCTTCACTTTGGTTTCTCAATTATTTGTTAAGTACCTTGCATAGGTTGGATTCCATGGGCCAATACATATATTTTTGTACTTGAAGAATGTATTCATTATCTATTGCTCATAACAAATTACCCTAAAGCTTAGCAACTGAAAACAACTGAAATTGGCTAATTTGCAAAGTTTCTGAGTGTTGGAAATCTTGGAATGTCTTATTTGGGTCTTTCTGGCTCAGGATCTCCTACCAGGTTTCAATCTATGTCCAAGGAGTAATGACTTCCAAGCTCATTCACAGGACTATTAGCCAGAGGCCTCATCACATAGGCTTTTTCTCAGGACAGCTGGTGGTTTGGCTTCCCCCAGAGCAAGAGATAATGATAGAGATAGAAATGATAGAAAAACAGAGCTTCCCTTTCCCCAACTTTGCTTAATTTCAGACAATTGTTCTGCAAAGAGGAAACATCCAGCCACTTTGGAGCAACTTCAATAAGCACTCAAGTCCATGAACACAAGAAGCAGATTAGTGGTTTCCAGGGTCTAGAGGGTTGAGGTGATGGAGAATAACTAGCAATGGACACGAAAGATCTGAGGCAATGGGACTGTTCTAAAATTCAATTGTGATGATAGTTGCACAATTCTGTATACTAAAAAATCACTGAATTACTTAAAAAAAGGTACGTTCAAAACTTCATATAAAAAAACTGTTTACTTATAAAAATCTACTCTGAGGACAACTAAGGAAACAGTCACGAAAGGAAAGGCTTCATGTTGAGATAAGCAACAGGCCTATTTAAGTTCAAAGTGTCACATTATTTTAATAAAAATGATGAGCACAGTCATGTGTAAAGTAGTCTGAAACTTTCCCCCTTCTGAGGTTTCTTTCTCACATCCTGTAAACGAATTCAATTAAAAATAAAACTCCTCGGACCTCCCCTGGTGGCGCAGCGGTTGAGCGCTGGGTTGCGAGGCTGCCCGCAGCCTCTGCAGCGCCAGTTCAATCCCCGGCCACCGGCGAGGGTCCCACAAAAAAATAAAATAAAATAAAATAAAATTCCTCAACACTATCCACCTTCTAGGTACTACATATCTCCTCTGGTCCTAGCCCAGCTTCTCACATGTCTCCATTTCCAGTTCCTACTTATTTGTGCTTTGATTCATGTGCCAACTTCTCTGAGCATGTAGCACTACCAGCAAGATGGGAACACTTCTTGCCATCAGGCTATCACAGATGATTATCTTTTAAAGGGTGGTACACTGTGAGGATTCAGAGCACTTTTTGCTTAAAAAATAAAAAGCAAGTAATTTTGTCTTAAAAATGCAATAAATCCTATACAATATATTTTCACAACAGTTTCAGCTTCCCTCCAGAAATCAGCAAGGGACCACCCTCTGTTTGAGCTTAAGGAAACCACACCAAGAAGAATTCACCGATTTGCAAAAAATACATGAAAAATGCAGGTGGCAGCTCATGGCCCGTCAATGTTCTTCCACAATTCCCCTGAGGGTTTATATTTAGATGATCCGATTGAGTGTAATCGCATGTTCAAGCAAGCTCAACCCAGAATATCAGCGATGATTTACTTCCAGAGGCAATGATAAATCTCCCTGTTGAAATCGTATTGGACTGCTGCTGACTAGGGTGCTTGTCTATTTGTATTATGACTCAAAACTGTAAAGATAGAGAATTAAGTGCTGAGAGATACCTATATCTGTATCTGTACTTCTACATCCATCTCTGTATCTATCTACAACATGCATCACATCCTGTAGAAAAAGATTGATCCTTCTAAAATATTATGGTCATTTGTTCAAGGATCCATATAATGGGGAAAAAAGCAGCTTCCAGGAACAACCCACCTCACAGTGAATTTTCCACTGAGAGAAATAAATTCTGAATTTATTTCAGCTACTGCGCTGGTAGTTCCAGCGCAGAAGCAGAAATATAACCCTAATGGGTGAAGATATATAAGTTGGACTTTGGGAACACTGTGCCCTAGCCTTGAGATGAGGCTAGGAAAAATCAGCTTCCTGTCCATTTATGGTGACTAGATTTGAGTAAGATTGGGGGAAGTGGTGTGGGCAGCTTGGAAGTGGCAAAGTTAATGTTTGCTAAAGTCACAGCCTGACCTATCCCAGGGTGAGTATGAGTGATGTCCTTCCTGGTTACTAAAACTAGGTAATAATATCACAAGAAAAGAAAATTAAAGATTGATATTCTGCATGAATATGGATGCAAAAATTTTAAACAAAAGTTTAACAGATCAAAGTCAGTAATGTTTAAAGAGATAATGCATCATGACCAGGTTGTGTTTACCAGGAATATAAAGTTCCTATCTGAAAATCAATGCAAATGAATATAATGCCAAGCTTTCAAATGTAAAATATTAAAAATAAAAAGCCATATGATCATATTAACAGATATAAGAAAAGTACTTAATAAAATCCCACATCTATTCTGAATTTGAAAAAAAAGCTCCTAAAAAGATAAATGTCAGATGGTTTCACTTATATGCAGAATATAGAGAAACCAAATAAAGGATCAGGAAAAAGACAAAACTTGCAAGTTGACCATAGATCTGAGGCATCAGCAGGGTAGCAGGGAGGAGAGGAGTCAAAACAGGGGGAGAAGAGCAGAAGGGACGGTGATGATGGACCACGGATGCTGTGGTGGTGGGAGAAAAACGGGGGCCACGGCAGAGAGGAGAAATCAAATATTATACAAAAATTAACAAGATGTAAGAAAATAAGTATTTTTTTAAAACCCCCCTAGAAAATTAGGACCAGAAAGGAATGTTCTCAATCTAATAAAGAACATCTATGAAAAACCTACAATCCGGACCTTCCTGTTAGTGCAGGGGCTAAAGTCTTCTCAGCCCTATCAAGCTATCACCAGCCACTGGCATGAGTTCAATCCCCAACCAGGGAGATAACTCACATGGCGCAGCAGACCTCTCCTGTCTTGCCCTCTGCTCCCCTCAGCAGTGTATTTCAGTAGATCTGCCTGTTCTGCTCCCCACTCTGTCTCTGGTGAATCCTCTTAACCCCTGCACCTCCAGCCTACACCACCGTTCTTGTATGCATAAATAAAAACAAATCTTTAAAAAGAAAAACCTACAACAAATCTAATACTTAGTGGTGGAAAACTGAAAGTATTTCCTATGAGAGCAAGAACAAGACAAAGATGCCTGCTTTTGTGACTTCTTGTCAACACTGGAGGGCTGGCCAGTGTACACAGGCAAGAAAAAAATAGAAAAGACATTCAGACTGGAAAGGAAAAAGTAAAATTGTTTTATTCACAGATAACAAGACGATCCATGTACAGAATGTGTCAGACTCTAAAACCACTGTTGAAGCTAATAAGTGATTTCAGTAAGTTTGCAGGTTTGAGATCAATATACAGATGGCAATTCTATTTCTATGTATTAGCAATAAAAATATCAGAAAATGAAATTAAGCAATGTCATGTACAAAAGCATCAAAAATATAAAATATTTAGGAATGATTCTGACAAAAATATGCAAGACCTCTACACTGAACAACTATGAAATATTGATGAAAGAAATTAAAGAATACCTAAATAAATGAAGACATATCCCTTGCTAATGGGCCAGAATGTTCAATATCAATAAGATGTCAATTTGTTCCCAATTATTCTCTAGGTTCAAAGAAATTCCAATGAAAGCTTTATTGGTAGATCTTGACAACAGTCTTTTGGGGGGTTAGAAATTGAAATTGACAAGAAATTGATTCCAAAGTTTATAAGGAAGCCAAGTACTTAGAATGATCAAAATAACTTTGAAAAGGGACAAAGTAGGAAGGCCAGTATTGCCCGATGTCACTTTCTTATTATGCTGAAGTTATCAAGACAGAGTGAAACTGATGTCAAGATAGAAAAATTGATTAATAAATACAATAACAAACCCAGAAACAGACCTACATGTATATGGACTTTTTTTTTTTACAGAGATGCAAAGGCAATCTAGTGGAGAAAGGGTAGTCTTTTGACAAATAATACTGACATAATTGGATATCTCTATACTAAAAATAAAAAGTTTCATTGATTCCCCACACCAGTTATATAACTTAACTCAAAGCGGATGACAAACGTTCTTGTAAAATGTGTGTTCTAGGGCCTCCCTGGTGGTGCAAGGGGTAAAGTCTCAGTGCTATGATTTTATCAGCAGCTACTGTGGCATGAGTTCGATTTCCAGCCAGGGAGCTAACCCACATCGAGCAGCAGACCTCTCCTGTCTCCTCCACTGCTCTCCCCAGCAGTGTATTTCAGTAGATCTGCCTGTCCTGCTCCCACTCTGTTTCTGGTGAATCCTCTCACCCTACCCCTAACACCTCTGGCCTACATCCCAGCTCTTGTATGCATAAATAAATAAAATAAATCTTTTTTTTTTTAAAGTGTGTTCTAGAGAAGCATTTAGGATGCAGGTATTTGAGATAGAAATGATTCAGTAGGGCCTCCCTGGTGGCACAGGCGGTTGAGCGCCACTCTGGAAGCTGTCTGCAGCCTCTGCAGCCTGGGTTCGATCCCTGCAGGCCGGCAAGAGTCCCACATGGCGCAGCAGACCTCTCCTGTCTTGCCCACTGCTCCCCTCAGCAGTGTATTTCGTCAGTCTGCCTGTTCTGCTCCCCACTCTGTCTCTGGTGAATCCTCTCACCCTCCCGTGCATCTGGCCTGTACCCCGGTTCTTGTATAAAAATAAATAAATAAATCTTTAAGAAAAGAAAATAAATGATTCAGTAGCCTGGTGGTATTTCACAGACAAACTTCCTGAGGTTTTTCACAGTTCCGTCATCATGGAGTGAAAGATCAGGCATTTTCATGGTTACCAAGAGACAGTAGATTGTGGGTCCACTAAAGAATATTTGTAGGATTTCTGTTTCCCCAGATCACTAAAGAAAGAAAAGCAAAAGAGGAAAGAAAGAAGGAAAGAGGGAGGAAAGAAAGCAATCCACTATTAAAGGAAGCCACTAAAATACAGTAAGTTGACTGACACTTTATTGCAATACATTTTTTCTATAAAACATAGACCCTAATGCTCTAACTTGAAACTTTCAAACGAAAGTTTTTCATGTTATAGCCTCAAGAAATGCAAGCAATATAATCAAAAGCAAATAAAACTCACTGTTGGATCGATTTATCTTTTTGAAGCTCTGTAATCTGCCTGTGAAGTCAGAATGTGGTAATTGGATTCTGCATTAGCCTTCCATTAAATTCAAATCTTGAAGGCAGTCCAATTTGTGGAACCTGGGGTGAGCCACAGCACATGGTGGGGGTTGGTATCTGAACCAGGAAACAGCAGCTTTCACCCTGACTAAGAGCACCTAGGCGTCTGACATTTCCCCCTCGCCCATCCGGATATATGTCCTGGGGGTTAACATAGAGAATTTTTCAAAGAACAGGAACCTGGAGAAGCAGATGTCCCAAGGGTCCTGAGCAAACACACACTCCACCTCATCACTCTTATTAAACATCTTATGCTGGGTTCTGTGTAAGCAGCGGGGGGCTTCCAGAATCCTGCAGCCCCTAAATATGTGACAACAGATCTTCCCACTTTTTATGACCATAAACTTAATCCTGTCAACAGATCAGTATTCATGTAGCACCTGTGAGGTTAGATGGCCGATGACTGTAACTCTTAACAAAATTTCCATGATGTTCAGTGGGCTTTGGGGGAGAGAGAGTCAACTTTATGGAGTTGACAAAGTAACAGGAGTGTAAGAAACAGCCCTGATACTGGCAGAGAACATGGGCACCATTCACATCTGCAATCTATCTGCAACTCAATTGTTTCCCAAGTGTGAGTCTTCCCAGAACAGAAGTCAAATTTTCTTTTAATTGCATTGCTCAGCTTCCCTTGCAGCGAGGATTCAGGCATATGATGAGCCTCCGCCAGTTCCCTAATTGTAGCAGTTACAGTTTCTGCCACCCAGTACAGGGGACACCCTGGTGGACAGTGATGCTCTGACTGGAGGGGCCTGGGGCATGGTTAGACATTGCTCTTGTGCAGAGTTATGTTCTCTAACCTTACCCAGGATTCTGGGACATGCTACCTAAAACCCTACGGCTATTTTAAGTCAGCCAACCTTGGCTCAAAAAAAAAAAAAATAGCTCTACAAAACTGGCAAGTGAGAATGCTAGTGAAGCAATTCAAGGCAGTTCCTCACACCATATATCAGGACTCGATATTTTTCCTGTGGTTTCTGGGCCAGTTCAACCTCTGTACAGAGAGCATGGACGTGCCTGAGTTAGTGACCTAGTACTGTTCAAGAGCAGCCTCCAGGTTATGGAAATGTCCTACATCTGTGCTGTCCAGGGGACACTAAAGACCAATGGGAAAAGTCAAACAGACAGGTGGATAACATTTGGAGGCACTGCGGGGACCTCACAACTGAGGACCTGGATTTCCCCCTTTGATTTCATTTTAATAAATTTAGGTTTAAATAGTGATATGGTTAACAGCTACCAGCTATGAACTCTCTGGTTGCAAGGAAGGATGACACTGCAACAAATACATTGCTATCAACATTTCCTGGTGGCTGTTGGGCATCTCAGGGGCCGGTGAGACAGAGAATGATCTCCAGCTTTCCCTCTGTAACCATCTGCAGCACAGCCTAGTTCCCTGCCTCCTGGAAGTCACTCTCAGCCGACTGTCCCCTCCCCATCAGCACCTGCCTTCTTCCAGGCCAGAAAGGTCTGCATGATTGGCTGAGCCCACTGGCTGATCTCTGTAGCTTAAGGTCAATTGTGCCAAACAATATAACCCTATCACCAGAGTAAAATCCATCACATTCACTGTCCCTGGAGGTACCTTATAATTCTGAAGTTCTATAGAGGTTGATATATTTTAAAAATCACAAGCCAAAAATGCAATGGACTAATCAATATGCTACTTGGGAAATTATTTATCTCATTGGGAGAAGAGAGTCAGTTTGGAGCATGACTTCATGGTATATATCAAAGTAAGCGTTGGATTATAAAGTTAAATATAGGGCTTCCCTGTTAGTGCAGGGGTTCAATCTCAGCGCTTTCAAGCTATCACCAGCCACTGCCACAGGGACCTCACCCACAGACCTCTCCTGCTTCACCCACTGTTCCCCTCAGCAGTGTATTTCAATGGATCCACTTGTTCTGCTCCCCTTTCTGTCTCTGGTAGAGCCTTTCACCCCCCCCACACACACCCCTCTGGTTTACACTCCAGTTCTTATACACATAAATAAATCAATCTTTTAAAAAATAAAGTTAAATATAAAACTGAGGCATAAAAATATTAGAAAGTAATTGTTAGGTGAAAAATTATCTTCCCTCTGACTGAGGGTACACATAAAACACCAACATATAAGACACATAAAAAAAACAGCAAAAAAAAATGATAGAAGTGAGCACATACTGGTTGAAAAAGACCATAAATAAAATCAAATATGCAATAAGCTAGGAGAAATGTTTGCATCAAATAGGATAAAAGTTAATGGTCATAGTATTCCAAGATCTCACAAATTAAATGAGAAAAAGCTAAATGAAAAATGAAGAAGGGCCAGAATATTCAAAACGAGAAATGCAAATATGCACATAAATGTAATACCTCCAAGGGATTAGAGTGACACAGATCAGAACCACAGAGGGATGGTGGTTTACCTCCTGGATTGTAACTATTGAAAATGCTGAAGATGCAGCATGAAGCCCGTCCCCTCATCCTGTGGCACTTCTAGGACATTAAGTGAAAAAGAAACAAACCTGTATCCACAGAGATGCTACTACAGTGTTATTTGTAATAATCAAAAATCAGGAACATCCAGGCGCAAACTGTGCTTCAGCCATAAAGTATTAGGCAGCCGTGAAAAAGAGCTTGTGAGGACCATGCATGGGGAAGGACTTTTGAAAGCATAAATGGGAGAGGAACCCAAGAGGAAAAATAACTGTTATCTGGGTGTGTGGTGGGGGGTGGCAGGGAGAGGGAAGAATAGGGGGCAGGGAACACATGGGAATATGGTTTGGTTTTATTTCCCCCACAGTGTATAATGATCTACCAGGGAATTCTTAAGCTGGAGTTCTGGGCCCCCTGCTGGTCAAGGGAAATCTAAAAATCCCCCGAACTAATAAATACTGTGTGTGTCTAGTTTTCCCACTTCTGAAACAAGTTCTGAAACAATAAGATCTTAATCTTCCGCTCCAGGTCTGACCACCCGCAAAGCTGCATCATTTTTTGACAAGAAAGCAAAAACACTTTTTATCATGCTTTCCCTCCGCAGCAGACCATTCCAGGTGCAGACGGACCCTGCTGCCTGCAGCCCCACTCCAGGCCCACACACTCTGGTCCTCGGAGCCTCCACGGGGATGGTTAAGGGGTTGTCAGACCTGAGCTTGATTTGTCACAGGAGGCAGCAAGACCATTTATGCTGGACTCAATGCCATCTTGCTTGGTTGTGTACCTTTTCACTATTATTGGGTGGTTTTTCTTTTGTTTGTTTGTTTTTTGCTTTTTTCAAAAGGCAGGAGATTCCCTGGCTCTTCCCACATGCCTGGTGAAATGTGAGAAAAGACACAGGTAGGATGGGAATATGCAGGTTCAGCCCACGCTGCACATCTTCCTGCTCCTGAGTCACAAGCATCGGCGGTGTCACCTGCCTGAATGCTTCACTTTCTCAGAGTTCCGGGCAGGGTGTTCTTTGGGTCTCCTCCTGCTCTAGAAACCCTAGTGGATGGCCCCACTCCTTCCACGCAGCTGGCTCTAGATGCTGAGGAGACGGCAGGCCCCAGGGCCGCCACAGTCTCTGCACAACTCCTCCCAGGGGTACTTTTTATCATGCTTTCACCCCGAGCGCAACCGGGCGTGTAGCCTTTCTCACAGCACCAAGGGGCTCACTTTTATTCTTACCAAATCCTGCTCAGAGTTCAGAGTCCCTTAAAGTTAGAACTCTGACCTAAATTGCCAAAATCATTTTGAAACAGACCCCCAAAAATGACAGATGTCACCACCATTCCCATTTACTTGGTCATGGTTCCAGGTTTTAAATTACTTTTTGTGACTCTGTCCCTCTTGATTCCTTCCAACATCAGCCAGGCCTTGAAGGCGGGCTGTTTCCAGCCTGCAGGAGACCCCGTCCCGCAGTGTACATGAGCTCAGGGAGCCCCTGGGGGGCAGGGCCTACAGTCTACTTGACCAGCATGTGGCAGTCAATTTCCCTCCTAAAACCTACTTTTTTATTTTATAGAAATTTCATATACGATATATAATTTTGGATTTTACAAAAACCTTTAGGTGCACCACTGTATGGGTGATTTTTGTGACGACATAAAGCAAAAAGGAAAAATCCAAAGGGAAGCTGAAATCCCAGCAACACCTGGTGCACAGACACCCCTCCAGGTGGCGACACCTGCTTACACATGAAGGCAACGTCACGGGCATGGGCGCGCCATCCTCCATCAGTAACCAAGCAAGTGTTTGCTATTAATACCTAGGTGCACCCAAGTTCAGTCACTAAGGCTGAATGAATCCTGTGTTAACAATCAATAGAACCCTGCCGAAGGGGCCGTGGCCTGACCTGGGGCCTCTGTCAGACCCCACAGGTATCAGCTTCCCAAGAGCTTGGAGATTCCATAGTCAGAACGTGGTGCCCCCTGTTGAACGAAGAACATTTTAATGGAACCTTCCACGATACAGATGGTGGGTCTGCCCTGTCCTGTTGTCCTTAGCAGAGTCCTTCTGGAAGACTGGCCAGCTTATTGGTAGGCACTCCAATAATGGGAACTTCGAGAATTGCTGTCCCAGCTTGTAGTGGAAACCTTCCCAAGAGGAAGAAATCTTTTTCCAAAAAAGAACCTGTTAGTGACCAGGAAGTGGCAGGAAACAGGGTTGTCTCTAAGAAAAAGAAGAAATTTTTTTCCAAGGAGGAGCCACTCAGCCGTGGACCTGAAGAGGCTGCTGACTACAAGAGCAGCAGCTCCAAGAAAAGTAAAAAGTTGTGAAAAGTATCCCAGGAAGATTAACAGGGGCATCTTCCCCTCATGGAGTGTAGCCTATCACGACATTTCTGACCCCAGTCCCTATACCCCAATAAAAGCCAAAAAAAAAAACCACACAAGAAATAAAAGAGAACCCCTGTCCTCCTCCATCCCTGTCTCTTAACTGAACACACGTGACAAGGAAGGAGCTTCAAAGTGTCTTCAGAGGGCAGCCTTGCTGATTTCTGTCTCTTTTCTGTGTCCATTTATTCAGCGAAATGCTTTCTGGTCTCAGTGGCCATCACAGAATGTTGCATTTGTTTACATCGCTCCCATGTCATGAAGTTCCAGAAACTTCTCCACCCCTGACACTTCATATTCACATGCACAGCTCTGGGTCTGTACCTAAGATCTTTGTCTTGATTGAATGGCAGGACCACCACCCCAAGTGATACGGGTTTTCTGCTGCCAGCTCAGGCTTGCGCCTTTCCAAATTTCTCCAGCCTGGAGTGAATAAAACAGGTCCCGTGACTCTCCCTGCTCTTCCCCGCACTTTGGCACTCACTTGTGTAAAATCAAAATCTGTGCTCAGGCGCCTGGAGACTGAGTGAAATCCTGATGACCCACACAAGCCAAGAATAAATCTGCTGATGTGGGACTGAGCCACTTGCCAGCTCCACCCTCACCAGGAAACCACAGCTCCTGCCACGGTCCCTGAGGCCTTAGGAGCCCGTCCTACTGGTCCACACACCCTGGTAACCCAGGCAGCTGCAAGCCCAGACTGGAGGAGGCAGGAAGAGGACCTTGACCCAGAAAAAGAAACACAGGATCTGAGGCTGTCAAGGAACCCAGGGTCTCTCAGGTTTAATCACCCATGGCCTCAGAATTCTGGTCTAATCTGGGAGGCTCCTCCCCCGCGCCCCACAACTCCCAGTCCTGACCTTTTGGAGGCAGTAAGTCAGCACTGGGTTCTTCTAGTTAAACCTGCACCCTCTGGAGCTAACAAATGAATAATAGCGCTCATCACTGTAACAGCCAACAGGCATAGAATGTTCACTGTGTGCCAGACACTGGCCTAAGTTTGCATGTTTTAGTGATCAATTTAATCCCCAATAGCCCATGAGAAGGGAGAGCTAATGTCCCCCGTTTGATGGGAGGATCATGTAGAAATAAAGGACTCACCTGTGGCAGCATGGCTCCATCCTCTCCATCAGCTGAAAGCGAAGCACATCTTTGGAAAATGCAAAACAAACAAAAAGTACGGAGCTGGAAGGGATTATGCGCAGCGAAATAAGCCAGAAAGAAAAAGAAAAATACCGGATGGTTTCACTCATAGAAGGAATGTAGAGGAACCAAATAAGGGATGAGGGAAAAAAATAACTGTAATAAAGTAAAAATCAAAATCAACAGGTAACCACAGGCCAGAGACATTCTGCAGGGGAGGAGGAGGCAGAAGGATCAGGGCAGGGGAGAGAAGAGCACAAGGGACTATGGTGATGGTGCACGGATGAGCTGGTGGTGGGAATTTCACGGGGAAATCATACATTGTACAACAATGAAGGATGATGTAATATATATAAAAAATTTAAAAAAATATTGACACCCTGTCAATGAAAAGCCACCAAGTGCCAACTGTGCAGGTGCGTGGACGACAGGCCAGACGGGCACCGAGACCTGCATCCTGTAGAGGTCTGCAAAAGCAGCTGGCTCATCATCGGAATGGTGAGATCTGGTGCGCAAGGGCTGAAAGAAAATGCACCCAATGGGCAGCCTTATATGTGACTACCTCTGCAAATAACCTAAGTAAAATATTCACAAATTTAATTCCAAAGCTTATTAAAATAATAATAAACCATGGCCAAATGGGATTTATCCCTCAGGAATGCAAGAATAATTCAAATTAGGAGATCTATTAACGTAATTTGCCATACCTATAAGTCAAAGAAGAAAAAACACATAATTACCCGCAGAGCAGCTGAACCGACATAAAAAACCCAGGAACAATTCATGAATATATTTTAAAAAACATTTAACAGTAAGTAGATCTTTTCTTATTATAATTAACAAAAAGTATATCTTAAACCAAAAATAAGTATCAAACTCGATAGTGAAATGCCAGAAATACTCTCATTATGCACATTATGTGTGCTGGTGTGTGACTGTGTGGGTGGACCTTGGACTTCAGCCTCCAGAACCGTGGGAACAAATGCCAGAGATATCTGGTCACAGGGGCCAGAGCCGACCACACCACACGATGCCAAATCCCTCCCAAGTTCCACGGTCAGGTCCGGAAGCTTCTGCCATCCCAGGTCCACAAGAGGGACTCGAGGCTGTGGGGTGAGATGGAAATCACAAGTGCTCACAGGGCAGGATGGCGGGAGGCTGAGGGGCACTGCAAGACTAAAACTCTGATGGTGGTTTATCTCTGCATGACGCGGGGTGCAGGGAAGGAGCCTCCCAGTATAGACAAGAATCCTGAGGTCACGGGTCCCCTGCGAGACCCTTGGCAGCACCTTGGATGTGGTGTTTGTCCTCTTTTTCCACGAGAAGCACGCTTTGCTTCTGTGATGCAAGTGGCGAAGAGCACTTGGAACAGCAGACAGTTATATAGTCCTCTGGAACTAAGAAAAGTCAGTGGCTGGGGATGTTATTAAAGAAAGTGTGTTCTGGTCATAATAATAATGTGAAGAGCTGGGCCACTCTCCTAGCCTGAGTCAGCACAGGGGGAGGAGTTGTGGGCTGGCAGTATGGGAGCAGCTAGAGGGCAGCCTTTGCCCGGGTATCCAAATGCCCACCACACACCATCCTAAGAAGACCCCAGACAGGGCATTACTGCTGCAGCCCCGGGGGGACCATCGTCCCAGGTTCCTGGGGACCAACACTGAGCCTGCTTCCCAGGAGGGCATAGCTTCACCTTGTGAGAAGTCTGTGGCTGTGGTTAACACACACACACACACACACACACACACACACACACATGGTTTGTGGATCTTCCCATTACAGAAGATATCCACTCACCCACCCCAAGGATGTGTGATTTAAAATACTAGAATTAGGGGGCCTCCTTGGTGGTGCAAGGGTTAAAGACACTGCTGTCAAACTATCACCAGCCACTGCAGCACAATTCGATTCCCCACCTGGCCAGGAGCAACCCACATGGTGCAGCAGACCTCTTCTGTCTCACCTGCTCTCCCCTCAGCAGTGTATTTCAGTCAATCCACTTATTCTGTTCCCCACCCTCTCTGGTGAATCCTCTCACCCCCCGCAACCTCTGTTCTTGTATGCATAAATAAATAAATCTTTTAAAAAATAAAAATAAATACTAGAATTAGAGCTATAAAAGTGCATCAACCAAGTGAAGACCTTAAACTTGCATGCTGTGTGTCAATTATATCTCAACAAAGCTAGAAAAAAATACTAGAACTCGGTGAATTCATCACCTCTTATTTGGGGAAGAAAGTTGCATCCCTGTATGACTTAGTTCTGGGCAAACAGTGACCAGGGTAGCCCATCAAATGTGTCTTTAGTCAACCCGCTGACCCAATGACACTGATGTCAGGGTCCAGTGGAAACAAACCGACTGACTGGAGGAGGGAGACTCAGAATGACTGGGCTGGGGGGATGGTGCGGGGTGGGGGCTGTCCTTGAATGAAGCCAGTCTCAGAGTCTCAGCCGCTGGGACCCCCAGTAACTTCCTGCGCTGCATGCAGCCCTGGGTCCTCTCAGGAGAAGCTTGTTTCAAACTCTCAGTCTAGGGACCCAGCACAGCCACCGGGCACCGGGCACCGGGCACCGGGCAGTAGAAGGGTGTCTGGCATTTTAGGATTCCAGGACTGGATCAGGACACCATTGGAAAGCTGTGAGGAAGGCCTTCCTTGTTAGCCAACCAGCAAGAGGCCTTAGATTTTTATCGAAGGGATGTTATCGAGTATTCAATTTCCTCATATGGACACTTGGTTTGCAATGAGAAAGAAGGCAGGCAGAGAGCTCAACGTGGAAACAGGTTTGTTTTTTTATTAAAGCATATAGATTCTTCAAACTACGTGAATAAATACAGCTGCAAAACGTCTCATTAAAATAAATAGATCTCCAGAAATTGTATCAAAAACAAATAATAGTACCTGAAGAACCTGTATAAATATCTATTTTGCATAGATTTCCAATACTCATTATGAACATACTCAAGCTTGTATGGAGGAAATATGCTACAAATTGTAAAAGTAACTGCCAACAAGGAGACCACAGGGACAAAACAGGGTGGGCGTTCTTCCTGAGCAATCGTTTCTTCCTGCCACAATGTTGTGCTTCCACTCTGGAATAATCTGGGCCAGCGTGGACAGAGCAGGGGCTCCCTTCCCCGTGCCTGCGATGCAGCAGGCTGAGACTGCCCCGGCCCAGGTCGTGGGGAGCAGCGGGTAGGGAGACCCTGCCAGGTCAACCTGAGAAGTTCTGAAAGACGCTGGCTGCCTCCACCCAGTTCTGGAAGCAGGCCAGCCCCCGCTCCCGAATCTGCTTCCGCCCCTTGTCAGTGATGACCTCCCCATTCTGCTTCACCACCACCAGCTTGGGGATGGCTGTGATGTTGTACCTGGTCCTCAGCTCACTGCGGAGAGAAGAGGGAGATCGAGGGTCAGCAACAGACAGGAGTGACCGCCCCTCTGAAAGGAAAGGATCTCCTTTGTGCTAGCCCTACAAGGTCCCGGATGTGGCCAGGGCTACCTCCCCCCATGCAAGGAGATCCCTTCCAGACTTTCCTTCTGGCTGCTGCCCATCCTAAGCCAGAGCCATCCTGGGGAAGTGTCCACAGCAAAGGAACTGTCCTGTATCTGTGCTGTCCAGTGCCAGGCACGCAGCCACGGTCACCACTGAGCTACTGAGACGTGGTAGGTGTGCTTGAGGCACTGAATGCCTCACTGTAATTAACTTTAAGTAGCCACATGTACCTACTGGCCACTGTACTGGACAGTGTGATTCTAAACCCGAAATAACCCAATAAATGTCCCGCTCCACATCTCAAGAGAATGGAAAATGCCAAAGACATAGACAATTGTCGCTCAGTATCCGCAGGGGGGCTGGTTCCAGGACCCCTGTTGATACCAAAAGCTGAGGATGCTCAAGTTCCCAAAGGGAGCACCCCACAGTTGCCACCACTACAGCTTCTGCAGAAGGTCCAACCACTCCCCATATGAAATGATCACCCACAGTGAAAAGGACACAGAGACGGCCCTGCTCAAACTGCACTTGCAGCACCAAGACCCACACTGCAGAGCAGATGCCCTGGACTGCGCCTCAAGGCGACCAGTCAAAGGCATCTCCATACAACTGAGTGCTCCAGACCCAGGCTCCGGGTGGGGCTGCACAGGCCTGCGATTCAGGCAAGGTGGTTGACAGATGTGGCCGGGCAAGTCCCTCCCCAGGTAAGCATCCTGCACAACCCCTAAAACTTGAACACCTAAGAAATTCCCTTTCCCCTAATACTTAAAACAAAAACATGAGGACAAAGAAAACAGCCCACATCACTCTTCACAAAGGCTGCAGGGGTGTGATTAAGCTTCGCTGGCAGTTTGGGTAGAGCGATCATTTCTGAGCCTTTACACTGGGCAGTGAGGGTGAGGGGCAAGCAATGCCCACCCCACCAGAAAGAGCCACGGTCCTTCAGCTGGGACTCTGCCATGCAGGAGGCCCTGGAGGGTTTTGGGAGGGCGGTGAGGGGGTCTCCCAGCGGCACTCACACACATCCCTGAGCCCACCAGGGTCCTGAGTCAGTACCCAAACCCCTGACAGGTTCCTGACACTGTCACCACTGGCCTGAGGACCAGGTGTGAGCAGTGGTGTAAAGCAGCAGGGTCTTCGAGTGTGGGGACCCGGGCCAGTAACAGCAGCAGCAGGTGTATCCCCAGAACTCGTCAGAAATGCAGCCTCTCCTTCCCAACAGTGGGAGTGGAACAGGAGACGCCTCTGGATTGATGCTTGCTCGAGTGTGCCACCCCACTCTCCCAGACTTTCTGCACCCCTCCAGGGATGGGGAGCGGAGAGAGCAGGCCAGAAGGGAAACTCTCCAGACAGCTCGGGCAATGAGGCCTGGGGCTGCTGCTCAGCATCCATAACCCTCCTTGCTAACCTGCCCCCCGCCCCCACTTGCTGGTGTTAACTAGCGGTGTGACTTGTTAACCTCCCCACCAGTTCCTGCATCTGCACCTGTACCTGAGAGGACCTCCTGCGATTAATGTAAGAAATAACTAATAAGCTTAGCTAAGAGCTTGGCAACAAGAAGTCATCAAAAACACTGGCTTTCTTGTTAGTCGGAAGGATCCACCCCAAATCCAGTCATCACAGTTTTTGACCCATGGCTGTACTAACCAGCACAGGTCCTACAAGACTCCATGGGGAGCCTGCCTCTGTGCCAGGAAGGAAGGGGTGAGGATGCACAGCCCGAGACATAGCAACCACACTGCCACCATGAGGGAGATGGATGTGCCAGGCAGCCTGCCAGGGCTGCAGCCTGAGCATGAAGCAGACATGGCAGAATGCAGGGCCAAGAAACTGTGTCTCCTTGTCCCCCTCAAAACCAGCTCCTGGCCATGGGGTGTGTCTGCTAAGCCTATCAGTAACCTTTATTGTTTACATGATGAGCTGCTGTTGTTTTCATCACTGGCAGCATTAAATCAAGCTCTGACTGGTAGGGAGATGACAGGCAAGGGCATTGAGAGGGGAGGAGGTTCAGCACATTTCTTTGCTCCAGTGGCTCTTCAAAGAGTCGCACCATAGGGGAGCGCAATTCCCCACCCTGGCAGCCTCTGCCTGGGGACTCCTGTAGCCTTGGAGCTGCAGGTTCCCCGAAGTCATCTCCATCCCCTCTGGGTGCTGTGCTGTGTCCAGAGAGAGCGGCACACCTTGCAAAGGAGAGGGCCTTGTCTCTGAGCACAATGACAGTTGCCGGAACTCCAGTCCTCTTGACCATTTCTCGGAAGTCTGAGGGCTCACTCCCCTCACACACTACCCTTGGTGCTGCGTGATGCTGGCGCCTCCCTGCATTTCAGGCAGCAAGTCCTTGTCCTTGGTACAGTCTCTTCTGGGTTGCCATGGCAACTTCTGGCTCCAATTTTTCCATCTCGGCCAAGGCTGCTCCTGAGCAACTCTTCCTACTTGTGTCACCCATCCGTCAGGCCTCCTGCAGGTGCCCAAACCCTGAACAATGTTTGTTCCAAACTTAAGGACTGTCAACTTAACACACATTCCTACTCTGGGGGGTTGGCGGGGCACTTGGGCTGTGGCTATGATGGGTCAGAAATGCACTCAGCATCCCAGGGGCATGGAGGAGGAGGAGGTGGAGGAGGAGCTGCCCAGCAGAGAGGCAGGGCTCCGGGGCAGGGGCTGGAGCACGTGTGTGCTCACCCTTCAGACACATGGAAAAGCATGGAGTGCACTGGAACATGAGTTGTCCGGTCTGTTTAGAACGATGGAAAGGGGCCAGCCAGAGACTGGGATGGGAGGCAAGTGTGGGCCAAACCCTGGCTTGGGAGGTGGAGGCAGATGGGGACCGAACCCTGGGTACAGCGGTGACCACTGGAGAGTTGGGGACCTGGGGAGAAAGGCTTGTCCTTGATGAGAAGGGGAGAGTTCAGGAACGAGAGTCCAGGGGTGGTGGCTCCAAGGCCCAGGCATCTGCTAGACTATGCTAGTGGTCCATGGCGCACATGAAGGAGGTAATCATGAGTAGGAGATTGGAGGGCCAGACTCAGAGGTTCCTCCACCTGACCGGGACTGTCAGGTCATGAGGCCCCAGGTGGGACATGAACCGGAGAAAGGGAGGGAATAGGGGGAGAGTGGGGAAGCTTAGCACACACAGGACTCGGCACTCCAGGGACCCTTCTCTACACAAGAAAGGAAGACGTGCCAGTTCTTTGCCATCAATTGAACCTGCCACCCAGAGGTTGAGGAGCTCCATCCAGAGGGTGCTTGGGGGTGGGGGTCATCAGAGCCAGGCAGGCAGGAGGGGGGCTCATGCCAGGCATCCTTGGGCTCTGCCAAGGTTCCAGAGCCCAAGCGGGTACCAGCGTTGTTAAGAAGCAACCACAATATCATGTATATTGTCACCCCGAGGGCTCACAAGCCCAGCAGCAGCACAGAAATTCCTTGATTCTGGGCCTTGTAACAGAGGAAGGGAAGATGGGCAGGATGGGAGCTCAGGCCCCCCACACCCCACGGCACCTGGACAGGGACCTGGGAGCTGGTCGTGTGCCCACTCCACCGCCAGCTTCAGGGGTCAGCAAACACCTGCCTCCCCAGGCAGAAAAGCACCCTTGTCACTGCCTTGCATGGGGGAGGCACTGGAAACTCAAGATCTCTGCAACCTGGAAGACAAGGTGAGAGGTTCTGGGCATTTCCTTCCCACCACTGCCTCTAGCCTTGCCCAGGGAATCCCTGGGAGACTCCGTGGGGTACCTCCCACAGCATCCCTGTTTCTCCTCTCCAGGCTCAGGCAGGTCAGCAGGAATCCAGTGGAGAGTGGATGATGGGAAGGTGCATTCCAGTCACTGCAGAGGGAAGGCAGCAGGGGTCCCCCACCATGAAGGACAAAGCAGGGCTGGCCTCCCAAGGCACCAAGCAGAGTCAGCTTCCAGGCACAGGAGGAGTCACCTAAAGGCCACCTGGGCGCTTCCTATATCCCGTGGCTCTTGGTGGCCACTATTTCTCATTTATTCATGTCCTAGTCCACAGATCTAGGCTGGGGTAAGCAGAATCTAGGGCATAGCTCCAAGAATTCCCACAGAGGAGCCCATTTCCTAACTTGCGAATAGCAATGACAGGGTCAAGGGGGAGGGACAATGAACTTCCCCAAAGAAACCGCCACAATGGATTCCTCAACAGAACAGATGGTCCTGAGCCAGGAGGCTTGGCCTCTGCACCTCTGTGGCACATCTGGGAAAGAGGACACAGACAAAACCCCGACCCACAGCTCGAGCTCCTAGTCAGTGCCATCCTCACCCAGTTTACACTCAGTATTAATTACCTACGTAACCGCTGAGTAAATTCCAGAGTGAACCCCAGTGTGGGCTCTGCCCAGGGCTGAGATCTGTGCCCGATTAAAACAGGGCCACGCCTTTTCACTTTCAAAACTAACTGCTCCCATTCAAAAGCTGTGTGTCACGAGTGCTAAGGAAATCAAAACTCATTTTTCAGCCACCACTGGCCATGACACTCTAAGGAGTCCTGTGGCCCCTTAAGCCGTGGCCACTCAGATTAGCCCCGTCCAGGGCCCAGACAACCAGGGAAACAGGCGCCCTCCCCCGGGCCTGGCCTCTCCTCCCTCAGCATCACCCAGAGTAGAAGAGCTCACGCTGGGAAGACTTACTCTTCATGGAACTCCCCCAAATTAGCTTCTATTCTTAATTGTCTAGAAGGAAAGTTGTGTCCAGATAATGCATTGGGGAGAGGGGGTGGAGAACAGAGGCCACAATTCTCCCTGGAGAAATGCAGTGCTCGCACCCTATAAAGCAGACCCAGAAATTCGCCTCTGAAACGTTAGGGGTGCGGCAGAATAACGTGCTTGTGCGGTGTAACTTAGACTGAAGCCTAAACACTTCCGCCCAGGAGACCTGAGATGCCCACACTCAGCACCAGCGCCCTCCTGCCCTGCCAGCCTTCCCTGGAGTCTTCCACACGCCCCCTCCCCCGCACGTGCTCCTGCTCTTCCTCTTCCCATCCCTCCTCACACCGTCTCCCTCCCCATCCCCATGCCCCCCTCCTCCTCTCCCCTCTCCTCCTTACCCGGTGCCCCCTCCCTTCCCCTCCTTCCCAAATGCTCCCCCTTCTTACCTTCTCCCTCCTCTCCCCACCCTCCCACCTCCCTCAACCTCCTCCTGGTCCCTCCCCAGTCCTCCCTCACCCTCCCATTTCCCTTCTGCTTCCCACCTTCTCCCCCCCCCTCTTGAACCCCGGCAGTTAGTAAAACACTCGGGCCAATTTCTAATACATTCACAATCTCCAAGATCCAACCAAGCCAAGAGCCCTGCAACGCCATGTCTTTGCTAAGGTAAGGGGAGGAGACCCTCAGAGAGAAAGGATTTTTGTCTCTGCAAGAGCCCAGGAACCTGGTTCTTGCTACATGTGCAGGAGCACAGAGTGATCTCACAGTTAGGAAATTCCAGTCATTGGCAGCATAAATTAAGCTGCGGTGGTGGCCAACCAGAGCCCGGGACCCACCCGCACTGGGGACCTGACCCTTCCTCCCAGGGTATAACCCCAGCTCCTCACCTGCTGGCCCAGGTCAGCACTCAGACTCTCCTGAGTCTCCCTCGCCTGCTTGGCAGACTCAAGGTTGAGGCCGCCCCTGTGCCTGTGCCTCACCCCACACACCAAACTCAAAGGAGGAAACCAAGGGGTGGACCCCCCAGTCTAGAGGTCCTCGGCTCGGTCCACAGACGGCAGCATCAGCATCACCAGAGCTGCTTGGAAATGCAGATTCCTGCAGTCAGAGATCCACCCGTGCAGGGGCCAGTGCGGGGCTCACCAGCGGGCCCGGAGATGCCCTGGGAGCGCAGATGCCCCTCGCCCGCGCACTCCCAGAGCCTGCCCAGGAGGCTGAAGCGGACACTACACTGTGCCTGCGCGGGTGGGCCACCTCCGGGGCCAGGGCCCTCCCGGAGAGGCGCAGGGACACGGGCCGCCCCCCGTCCCCACTCACTGCCGGCAGGGGTCGTGGAAGGGCAGCGCCAGCCAGGCGCCGTGCAGCTCGCTCATGAAGCCCCGCATCTCCTGCGCGCTGCCGTCGGCCGACACGAAGACCACCTCGAAGGGCGCGGGCGGCCGCGCCTCGTCCACCAGAGCCGTGTAGAAGTCGCAGAGCAGCGGCGTGAAGTCGCGAGACGGCGCGCACCGGCCGGCCGCGAAGTACAGCGCCACCACCTTGTTCTGCAGCGCCGCCTCGGCCTCCACCGCCCGGCCGTCCCGGGTCACCAGGAGCCGCCCGCCCAGCACGTCCACCATGGCCGGCGGAGCACCAGGACACCTGCGGGGGACGGCGGCCTGCGGGGAGAGTGGGTGGGAGGGTGTGGCGGGCGCGGCCGCAGGGACACCTGGAGAGCGGGGGAGCCGGGGGGGAGTGGCCGAGCGCGGCACCTGGAAACCTGCGGGGGAGGGACACCTGCGGGGTGACAAGGCAGCGGCGAAGGCGGGCGCGGGCCGCTTGTGAAGGACGGGCACCTGCCCGAGATGCACCCCTAAGGCTCCCCTGCAGGCAGCGCTGGGCGCCGGGGAGCTGCAGGACTTGCGCCGCAGCTTGCGCCAGGGTGTCCGCGTGGGGGTCGGGAGACGCTCACAGGCACCGGTGAGCCCAGGCGCAGCGGCGGCGGAGAAAGCGCAGCCACCGCCCCGCCCCGGCGCCAGCCCCCGGCGCCGCGCCCCGCCCCGCCCGCCCGCCCGCCTCGGGGACCCTCGCCGCGCGCCCCCACCCGCGCCGCCGCCGCGCCGCTCCCCCCGCCCGGCCGCGCACCCCCGTCGGCCAGGCTCTCCCGCTCGCTCTAAGGCCTGGGCTTGCCCTTCGCCCCTGAGCTTCGCCCCGGGCGCCACGCCCGGAAACCTCGCCCCGCTCCGAGCCTTCACCAGCGCTCCTCCGACAGCGGCCTCGGCTCCCAGTTTACCCCCAAGTTCCTCCCACCCCGTCCCGCGTCCGGCCATCCTGCCCCGGGGTCTTGCCGCCAACTCCCCAGTGCGCTGGAACCTGAACCCCCGCTGGGAACTCTAGGGGAATTAAGAGAGGAGGAGGGGCTGGTAAGGGAGGTTCTAGCGGGAGGGGCATCTGAAGGCGATGGGGGACCTGAGCTCCACCCAGGCTGGGGAAGTCTTTGGAATTTGGGGGGAAATTGAAGGTGGTTCTTGAAGAACGCTTAATTTGGAGAGCCAGAATATTCGTGTGCCAAAAGTATTCAGAGGACCTGGATTCAATTCTAGTTCAGGTCCCTGCCTCCCTGCAAGGGGAGTTGGGGGTGCGGCAGCTGAGCACCGCGTGGGGTGCAGAATTTAAGGGAAGTAGCGCTCAAAAAATCAAGAACTAATATTCGGAATGCAATATTTTATTTTTTTAAGATTTATTTATGTATACAAGAACTAGGGTACAGGCCAGAGGTGTGGGGGGTAAGAAGATTCACCAGACAGAGTGGGGTACAGAACAGGCAGATTGTCAGAAATACACTGCTGTGGGGAGCAGCGGGAGAGACAGGAGAGGTCTGCTGCGGCATGTGGGCTACTCGGCTGAGGGCAACTTCATAGTGAGACACAGGGCAAGCTAGAAATTAGGCAGTTTTAGGGACAGTGCAGGAGGGGACCTCTGAAGAATTTAGGGAGGCTTCAGAGATAAGGACAAGCAAGGGAAAGTAACCCATTCCACTAGGAAAAACAAACATCCCAGCACCAAGGACAACATTGTTAACGCTGGTCCTGGTTTCCTTCAGGTGGTAAAGGGAGGCGGAGATTGGAGAAATAGAGAGTAGTTTAATTTATGGTCACATTAGAAGGGCAGCTGTTTAACCTCATCGCAGGGATGCCCATCCAGAGGACTGGGCCATAAATTTAAAGATGCAACAAATGGGGAAAGAGAAAGCTGTTAGATAAGGAATGTGAAGATCCCCCACTCAGTAGCAAATTGAGTGAGACAGCCGAGAACTAACCAATCACAGAGAGACTGGTGGAGCTTTAGAATAATTAGGGAAAGAAGGTCTATATTCCCTGAGACACGACTCCACTTTGGCTTCCTTGCCCCTCCCTGGCCTGGTTCCCTGGCCTGGGAGTCCCACTTTATTTCTGCTCCTTTACTCCTCAATAAAATTTTTCTTTCTCTAAACAAACTGCCTCTTCTCGTTGCTCGCCTGAGCGTCTGCGAAGTTCCTGCTGCGGCTTCGTGAGACACCAACCCGTGGGGGTCTAGTGGCTGGGGCTCAGCGCTGCCCTGCAGCCTGGGATCCGTTCCTGGCTGGGAGACTAGGCCTGACAATTCCGGTATCAATAGGTTGTGTCTTAACCCCTTGCGCCACCAGGGAGGCCCTCGAATGCAGTATTTAAAAAATTCCAAATTAATGAAAAAGAGTTAATGAACAAAGCAACAAAATACGCACATGAGGAAAAAGAGGACAGGGCCCACACTGTCCTCAGACGCCCACCACATTCACCTCTCCCTGCGTCCCTACCTCCTGGCCTGGGCAGGCTATGTTCCAGGGAGGACAGACCCGTGGATGAGGAAATAGAGCCTGCATGCCGTGGGGAGGAAGGAAAGTTGCAGGGGGTGGCGCCACTTAAATTGGGGTAGGAGGTGCGAAAGCAGGAGCGTCTGGGAGGTGGCTGCACGCCTGCTGGTCCCCGGCCCATCTTTCCCCTTACAGGAAATGCACGCGCTGACAAGGGTCGTTAGCCGCTCTACCTGTCCTGGCAATGGTGGGGGCATGCCCAGCCGCGCCAGAGCTAGGTGCAAATTCTGTTGCAGGAGTAATGCTGCTCCAGGGAGCCTGCTGCCAGAGCTTCAATTTACTGTCCTCTTCAAAGTTTAGGGGAATTTGTAGAACTAGAGAAGAATGAGTTGTGAAAGCAGTATAAATCTTACATGCAGAGAGACCCCTGATTTGTCAAATGTCAGAAATAAGATGAACAGAATGTAGCTGAACTCTGAATATCATCAAGACTGTATTTCGAACTGTTTTGACCTTTTTTTCTTTTATCACAACAGTGAATGGAGTCGAGAATATTCCTTTGGGGGACAATGCCACACTATCACAGAATTCCCAATGATTTTTTAAAGATTTATTTATGTATACAAGAACAGGGGTGTAGGCGGCGAGAGGATTCACCAGAGACAGAGTAGGGAGCAAAACAGGCAGATCTACTCTCATACACTGCAGAGTGGAGCAGCAGGCCAGGCAGGAGAGATCTGCTGTGCCATGTGGGTAGCTCCTGGCCAGGGATCGAACTCCAGGATAACTTCATAGTGCTGATGTTGCAGAAATAAATTCTAGCCTTTTACCCAGGCCGGGGAAGAACAAGCGGTACTTTCGGAATGGTGAGGCCAGGAAAGCTCTATTACTCATGCATGAGGTCTCAGACCTGGGTAGTCCCATTAGGTCTGAGCACTGGTCTAGAGACAAAGAATTTCTTTGTCATCAACACATAAACCACCTTACATTGATAAAGTTGGTTAGTTAGCATACAAATTCTTGACTCAGGAAAAGGGGAATGATGCAGATCTTCCAGGATGACCTGGGAGATTAATCAGCCTAGCAGGCTGCCAGACCTTGTTTAGATATGCTTATTAAGGAAGCAAACTTGTTATTTACTTTACATTTCCAGGTCAATGACTCTTTAACAGGGAAAGATTTCTTTTTCTTAGCAGTTCCCTTTCACTGAGACTTAATCCCTTATCCCCAGGGAGGCTCTCCCAATGATTTCTAGCAACACTACCTGCCGCATTGTGCAGAGGAGTGGGGAGGGGAAAGGTGTCTGTTCTGAAACAGCAGCTCACTCAGGGAGATGGTGAAACCAGGGCTCTCCAGGGAGCAGGCAGGAGTAAGCACAGTGGAGGTGAGGCACGTGGGGCATAGTGGGGGTGGGCTGGGTAGGCATCCTCCTCACTAGGGACCCTCCTCCTGGGGCCTCCTTCCTGAATGGAAGGAAGGGGACCTTGCCCTCAGGGAGCTCTCATGCTGCACCAGCATTCTCAAGCAGTCTTCAAAGCCCTTTCTGCTGCCTGGGTGCTGTCATTCCCCTCCAACCTCATTCCACTGGTGGCACCTTAAGGAGAGGGGGACAAATGTCACAGAGGCAGAGGAAGCCCAGCACCCTGTCCTGCTTCTGCTGGAACCAGGTCTGCATGTTTCCCTCACAGGAACAGGTGCAGGTAGAGCCTCAGAAACAGGGTAAGGTGAGTCCCGGGGGGTGGACACCATCCATGCAACTTCCTTCTTGGGCATCAGCTAATCAGCTTTATACCAGGGCTAATGATGGCTTATTTGGACAGAGCTGGGCCCATGAGGGTCTCCCAAGACCTGCCCTCCTTCCCCGAGACTCCTCTCCTTAAGCCCTATGAAGTCTGTAGTGACATTTATTCTACCCTGGCACCCATTCCCCACCTCAATTAAGGGCAGTGGCTTCTGCCTTTCCTTCTAGAATTACGGTTCTGGCAGACTCTCCTTGACCAAACTTTAGACAGGCCCATTAGTCCTGTGGGTTCCTATGAGATGGCCACTCATGGGCAACTGTGACCTATTTGCTATCTGCAAATCACATCAGAGCATTCCTTGACTGCCTACAGAGAATAGCCCGTGTCACGAGACAGGCCTGGGGACACCTAGGCCACCGCTGACCTGATTACGTGACTATCTCCATGGTGGTCTCAGGATAACTCTGCCTGTGATAACATCAACACATAAATTTTCCTGACACGAATGTTTCTTGATGTATAGTCACAATGTCCCCTTCTGTTCCTCGTAACCCCTTGTCCCCCGGACCTTATTCCTCATACCATTGTCGCATGATCAGCTTATACTAGCTTGTGTGCGCTCAATAAACGGCACAGGAACTTAAGCCCAAGTAGCAGAATAGCCTCGCAAACCTGCTCCACGACTGCTGTGTCCCTCTTCACATTCCTGTTGCCACAAGTCCTCCTGGGGCTTGTCCTTGTGTTAGGGAGAAAAGGATGTCCTAGAGCTAATTCCATCCAGGCTTTGTGGACTCCACCCCCACCCCAGGCCAAAGCCAAAGACACTGGGAACTCCAAATCCCATCACCACCAAAGGGAAGGTGGCTGGGACCTGAGGGTGGGGTTAAGCAGCCAGGTTGGTATAAAGCCAGACATGTGGGCTTTGGAGGGGTCCCCCATTTTGGCTCTCCGCCAGCTCCCAGCGTCCGGCCAGCTCTGAGAGTGCCTTTGGGTTTCCAGGTCGGCGGATCGGGTAGGACGCATTAAAGACTTGATTTCCCTATTTTCTCCCTGAGTTGTACATTTT